CTGGTGCAAATTACTGACCTCTGTCATCATTTTAGGTGGGGGAACTTGCACAATCGGTGGCTGACTAAATACTTTTTTGCCCCACTGTAAGTTCAAATTCTCAGAATGCAATTTCTGATTAAAGATTTTTAATGTGTGTTTACAGCAAACATGAACCAAAGTTTTGCCTTCTGTAACTCATGCAAATACACTTGCTCTAATGTTTTTGGAAATACTTGGTCACAACAGCCAATGGGAAGACATCCAACAATGTACATTAAGTTACAGTACACATTTTTAGAGCTCTTAATAAAAACACTAGCTTAATCATACAGCACAAGATGGCCACACTAACCATATCTTGTTTTTGTATGCCAGTGCCATCAGGAACACAGCTTCCATTTCCTTTGTCCGGTTCAAATTTGTCTCTTTGCATCTAATTTGTATTTGCATTTGTATCCGATTTGCTTTTTGCTAGCCGATGTTGCCTCATTCAAAACTGACAATGATCACTTCCACCAGTGCAGAGGCCATGTTTGAACATAAAATTGCAGAAAAAAAATGTTTGGTAACTTTGGACCTCTGCCTCAGATTTCTGGATAAATGTGGAAAAACAATCAATGGATTGTTTCTAATTTAATCTTTGCATTTTCTGCTAATCTTCACAGATACAGAATATTTAATCCTGAAGAAATAAAGTTTAATTACATGATTCATGTTTAAGTACTTATGGGACCTGTGCGAAAATCTGATAATGTTTGACTTCATATTTATGTATAACTATAAAATCTCAACTTTTTCCTGTAACTAATGTTGTATGGAAAACATGCAGGATTTCATACATGCAACATGAATGATAAAGCTCTCACCTTTTGATTAAAAGGCCACTTGAGGAGTGCATCACTGTGTCCTCTCATCACCACAAAGAACAAAGACAGGTGGGTGCCTCGCCCCGTCCCATCACCATTCAGGTAGATCCGCAAGCACATCTTGTAGCCATATTTACTGGTATAAAAGGCTGGAAATTATTAACATCAGTACATTAAATAATAACACTAATAATCAAGTGTCATGTTACTTCCATCAGGAAGTGGAAATCCTTAATCAGGAATTCATCGTGTAATGTGGTTACCAGGAGAGAACATAGCAGGGGCCCGGCCAGCCACAGCATCCTGCCTCTTTCTGGTGAAATCAGAGATCTTCCAGACAAATATGCCGTCATAAGTGGCTGCGGACATTTCTCTCATTTTCCCCTCCATCTCCACGATGGACAGGTCCCTCAGGCTCACCGTTCTCTCCAGCTGACGAACCTGCAGCACAACACAAAAATGTCACGTTTTTAATTTAGCTTAATATGACACCTTTGAAGAAGTGCCAGCAATGCCAATACTCCGTGAGTGTGTAGGGCAATGCTCTTTTTTTAGCAAAGATAAGAATTTTTATTGTAACACAATAATATAAAACACATCTGAAAGATATTTTGGTAGTGATAAAGTGATCTAAAAAAAAAAAGTTTTCTTTCTGTTACAAAATAGAAAGAAAACGGCAAATGAACTATTTAAGAAGAGATCAACGTAGAACAACATTAAGTATG